GGCCCAAAACGGACAATATCGTGCTACGATAGTGGAGCGGGCCCGGGCGTGCCAGCACGCCCTCCTTAGGACAGGGTGTGTAAGTGATGCCAAATTATCTCAATACCTTCCTATACCTACCTAACATTTAGAAAGAATGGACACTTGTTAGGTCGCCAATGCTAAGTGATGATGTCATCACCGTTAATTGATAATGCCTTTAATGTTAAGTGATGACATAGACAAACATGGAAGTTGATTTTCACTTACTTATGGAATTTTGAATCCTCAAATGGACAATTCTTAGCCAAGATAAATGTTATATTTGTCTACTTAAAAGGATCAGTTTATAGATTTAGATCTTTATAGATGACGTGAGAATGAAGCACAATTCAATACTTATCCAGGTCATCACTTAATGTTGATGACCTAATGAATGTCCAATTTCCGAAAACATTAGGTTGTCATTGGAACATATTAAAAGGTCGGGACCAATTTGAAATTACCACTTAAGATTGGGTAGTTATTTGTAGTTAACTGCAAAAAAAAATTGTAGCACTTATTAAACATTTCATTTGATATATGGAGAATGTTAGCAGCATTTTTGTCTTTCTTTTTTGTTCTACAATATTGCATGATAATATAACCATTTATTTTTTCACCCTTTAAAGATCATATGTGCAAAACTAAATTTGAATTCGTTTAGTCATCTAATGGTTATCCAATATATAGACATGCATGTTAGTTTCTCAATTAAACAATTTTGACAAACCTTACTTCAACAGTTCAAACAATTTCTAATTTGGCTGATTTTTTTAAGAGTTGGTCTTTAAATGATAATTATACTAATCTCCAAATAACATTGCAAAATGAAAAAAAAAAAAAAAAAAGCAAAAAGGCCAACATTTAATTAATTACTTCATTCCATTTACAAATGAAAACCATGTACACATATCAATGTTTTATAAACGAGACGTAGGTGAGACGTTTCACAGATAGCTTTATCTAAGCGAAAGCCCTGAGGCGTGAAGCGAAGAATTATATATTGAGATAACACTTTTTTAAACATTTCAAATAGCGACAAAAGTTAATACATATGTAAGATGACATAATTAGTACTTTTTTTTGTTTTTTCTGGAGTGTAAATTACAAAAATACTCTCATATTTGAAAAGGTGGAGGCGTATAAATCCTAGCTAGATGAGTGGAGTACGTACAAACTCAGAGCACAAAGAGAGAAAAGATGACCACGATGCAAGAAGAGAGGTGTCAACGCCGGTTACGGTATAGGTAAGCACTGCATACATCCCCGGTGGTCGCGGTAACGCCGGAGGCATGCACCACCACCGGATGCCAAGTATTTCAATAAAGTCAGTATGACATACTTTCACAAGCTTCACAGCAAGTTTTATTGCTCCATCGTCAACGTTGACGAGCTCTGGTCTCTCCTCCCCTAGGAGGCTAAGGAAGACGTGCTACTCATCGATGTGACTCAATACGACTTCTTCAAGGTCTTGGGCAAGGGCATGTTGCCGCAGCACTAGCCCATTACTGAGATCGCCATCATCCTCTGGTACTTCCAGAGAGATAGAGTTGGAGATCGAACGAACTGAGGAAGGGTAGAATTGTAAGAGTTTTGAGACCCCTCTTGTCCCACATCGGGCAACAATGGTTTTTCACTAGCCTTTGTAGGCTTATTCCTTCTTCTTAGTAATTAGAACTTGGACCATTTGGAAACGGATTGAAGGCTTGGGCCTTATGGTTGTGTAGATTAGGCTTGATGATTATACTATAATATTAATATTAATTAATATTAATTAATCAAGACAAGGGCCTTGGGCCTTGGGGCCAAGGAATTAAAATTAATCTGATCAATTAATTTTAATTTCGAAAGTTTTTAATTAAATTAATTAAAAACGTTTTGATCAATAGACACAACTCTTTGGAAAGAGTTGTATAGCTTCAGATACATCCAAAAGGGGTTTGAAAAGGTATGAATGAGCCTATATAACTGGAGTCCTCAGTTCCATCAAAAATCATCTTTTCTTCCTCCTTGTCTCATGTACAAAATTTCCAAAGAGTAAACACACAAAGCAATTTGCTAGAATTCTATAATCGAGTGCGGGTTGTAGAATTAGGTAGTTGTATCCTGGTCGAGCAAACGTTGTAGAACCACAAGCACACGAGTGGGACGGAAATACTGTTCGAAGGACGTAGCGTTTGCACTAGCCTCTACCTTCAGTTCATTCAAGTTAGTATCATTTTAATTTTTTGTAATTATTGTGTAATTGCATTCTGTATTGCAACTATTTTTTGAATAATAAAGTATAAGTATTTCGGTTCAATATTTCTGTTATTTTATTGTTTCTAAATTGTTCTCCAACAAGAATGTGTCGGGATCGGTTCCGAATGGAGGGTTGCTCCATTCATATAGGGTTGCTCCATCCATTCATATAGTTAGTTTTTCATATAGGGTTGCTCCATTCATTTAAGGATTGAGAAAAAAGTTGTCTCTTTTAAATTATAGTTTATATGGTTGTTTCATTTAATGATTGAGAAAAATGTTCTCTTTTGAATTTTTTGTGCTTGTTTGTGAAGTCATTTTTTTGAAACGTGTATTTTTTTTTTCTTTACGTTATGAGATACTTCATGGTTGTATTCTAAATTAAAAAGTAAAAAATAAATTTAAAAAAAAAACCTTTGGTGTCTATTTTGTTTCTTACATATATTTTGAAACTGAATCGGAAAAAAAAAAGGCCGAAGAGGGGTTGAATTGATGACAATTATGTAGTTTTGTGAAAAAAAATACAAACTAATTATACTAAAATGTATACAAAACTGATTCTACAAACATGGAACTGATTCTACAAACATGGTTGAGGAGCGGTTGGACTGATGACATGTATGTAGTTTTGTTGAACATATACAAACGGATTCTACTAAAATTATACAAAATGATTTTATATGTATTTGAAACTGATTCTACAAAAATGGTTGAAGACGGGTTAAACTGTTTCTACAAAACTGGTTAAGAATGGATTGAACTAATTCTGCAAAAATAGTCGAAGATGGGTTGAATTGATTATGCAAAAATGGTCAATGATTGATTTGACTAATTCTACATAAATGGTGGAAGACATGTTGAACTAATTCTACAAAAATGGTCAATGACGGGTTAAACTGCAAAAATGGTTGAAGACGGTTTGAACTGATTTCTGTAGAAATAATGGAGGACGAGATGAAAGCAAAAATGGTATGGTTAAATTGATTTTGCAAAAATGGTCGAGGACAAGCTAAACTGATTCTACAAAAATAGTCAAAGACGAGTTGAACTGATTCAGTAGAAATGGTCGAAGAAGGTTGAATTTAATTCTACAGAAATGATCGAAGATTGGTTGAACTTGATTATGCAGGACGGGTTGAACTTGATTTTGCAAAAATGGTCGAAGACAGGTTGAAACTGATTATGCAAAAAATGGTTGAGGACAGGTTGAACTGATTCTGCAAAAATAGTCGATGACGATTGAACTGATTCTGCAAAAATGGTCGAAGACCAATTGAATTGATTCTGCAAAAATAAAAGAGGATGGTTGAACTGATTCTGTAAAAATGATCGAAAACATGTTGAACTAATTATGCAAAATTGGTCAATGACGGGTTAAACTGATTCTGCAAAATATGGTCGAAGACTAATTGAATTGATTATGTAAAAATGAAATAGGAAGGTTGAATTGATTATGCAAAAATGATTGATAACAGATTGAACTGATTCTGCAAAATTGGTCGAAGATGGGTTGAATTAATTTGGCAAAAGTGGTCAAGGACGGTTAAACTGATTCTGCAAAAATGGTCGAATACGAGTTGAGCTGATTCTACAAAAATTGCAAAAACGGTCGATGATGAGTTGAACTAATTTTGCAAAAATGGTCAAGAACGGGTTGAATTGATTCTATTAATAAATGATACAAACTAATTTTGCATATATTTTCAAAACTAATTCTACAGAAATAGTCGAGGATGTGTTGAGTTTATGGCACATATTAATTTGTTGGAGTTGTGAAGGTTGGATTCTATTAACAACTCTAAGTACTAGTTTGGTATTAAGGTGATTTTATAAAAAGTGGGTATAAAAAAAAGCTGAGCTCAAAAAGGCGTTTGGTAAACACTTAAAAATAGCTTATTTTCACAGTTTTGGGTGAAAAAAAGCTGAAAACGTGAAGCAGTAAAAATGAGCTTATTCTCACAGCATAGCAGATGCAGTTTTTTTTTCAAAGTACAGCAATACCAAACCAACCCTAAACCCTTAGGGGTATGACTGGTATTTTAAAACTTTTTTTTTCCATGTTTTTGGGTTGAGCTTTAGTTATTTTTATGTTTTTGTCTCTTGTTGACATGTTTAAAAAATAATGGAATTCCTTGAAATATAATAAAAGTTTTTGCCTATATATAAAGCACCCAAAAACAAAGATAACATATAATAATAATAAAAACAAACATGGTGTTATCAGTACTTTTTTCGTTCTGGCCACACAATTTTTAGGATCTATAAATAATATTAAAAAGTACAACAGTCTCTTGAGTTTTTTCTTTAAATGAATATTAAAAATACAATTTTTTTTTTTTTGTGTACTTATCTTTTATTTTTGTTGAAGGAGGTTTGTTATTGGATTCTAAAAATCTCATCTTACACTCAAAATTTTTTATAATTAGAAGTCTTCTTCATCTTCTACAAGCTCTAGAACGAAAAAACACAGTAACTACTCCGCAACTAAAATCCCATTTCAACTAAATTTTTTTTTTTTTAAAAAAAAAATTTCGGCAACATTATGCCCAATTGAATGCCTTGAATCGTGCCTCCACGGATCGTAGACAATGTGACATTCCGTCCCAAAATTCATGTTAACGTACGTGTGAAATTACAACTTTGCCCCTAGTTCATTTCGTGTACGTTTAGTGGTTGTTTCGTGTGGCGTGGATATGTGTTGGGCCACACACACACCCACACTCTTACACTCACTCTCTCTGTCCCTTTCCCTGTTTGTCTCTCTCTCTCTCCCGTGTTTCCTTTCCCTTTCCCTTTCTTTTTCTTCCTCTTCCTTAAACTGGTACAGACACACACACAACCATACTTTACACCCACAGATCGAGAGAACTAAAGCCATATTTGAGATCGTGAGGCTCGTACGAGTCCAACCACACCATTTTCAGGTAAGAACTATAACGTTTTCACGTTAATTCCTTAATGGCAGATTCGAGTACTGTTCATGCAAACTTATTCTAGCTTGTTTTTGGACTTTTGAAGCTTGTAATTGTGTTTGTGAGGTTCCCAGAAGCTTGGGAGTGCTTCGTTGGACAAATTTGGACGTCGGGAAAGCTTGGTTCGAAGTTGGCCGAGCTTTGGAGTTTTGGACAAGTGAATTCTCGTAGATTTTAGCCTTTAAAACTTGGTTAGACGTATTCTATTAGTTGTAAGGGTTAAAATGGTGTAAAAATCTTGAAAAACGGTCGAAAAACGAGCGAGAAAACCTAAGTTGCAGGTTTTCCGGCGACGACGACGGCGCCGGCGACGGGGACTGATTGGAGAAGGAGACGAAATATTCCTGACGCCGTTAACAGCATCTGGTTAGGTTTAACGGAATATTCCGTTAGTTCAACGGAATATTCCTGACGGCGTCACTTGACACCGTCAGTGTGCATGGCACGTGACCGCGCGTGAGGGGTCCAAAAATTATTTTAAAAATATGGTTGTGATCCTGAGGTTGTGTAGATCACGTTGGTATATTCATTTGTCCATTTTGAGCAATGTATGAGAAGTTATTTTGAACGGAAGGTTATGTGCTTTAAAGTTAACATTTTTTATAGTTAATTCGCATATAGGTGACACGTATCCCGAGGACGAGCGTGCACACTCAAGGCAGCGGGGCTACGACCCTTCCACATACCAGTGAGTGGGCTTTTGGTTTTCCGTATATACCTATATACATATTAATTCCCAGAAAATTAGTATAAATGCCTATTTCGTTATATGCCATTCCTTTTACATAATTGGTGGTTATGCATGATTAGTTGCATATACGTTTATTTATATATTCAATTATGCATATGTCATATATATATATATATATGTTGGTGCTGTGGAGGCATGGGTAAGTGCCAGGTAAGTGTTGTTTAACATTTGCATTCAATAGTAATTCGAGAGGCTTAGAGAGCTCATAACTTGCACCTCCGGTGTTAGTGCTCCCGCCCAGAGTAGGGCACAGTCTTTCACGTGTTGTTCACCTCCCACACCACACGCTCAGCTTGGATCCAAGTTAGGTGCACAGTCTTGTCGTACAGACCACTTTAGGTGGTTCCGACTCGTAGGTGACCCACGATTATTCGCACAGCCTTCACGTGATCGTAGCACTAGAGCGTTTATATGTTTTACACCCAGGCCTGTCGTACAGACCACTATAGGTGGTTCCGACTCGTGGGCAGGTGTAGTTATTGAGATTGAGATTTGAGCTTTAGATTCAGCCGTACAGGTCACTTAGGGGACTCCGGCTGCCAGATGTTATGCTATTGATGTGATTTATACCTGAGCACTTGCATATCATTATGAGGCTTTGACATGACATACCTTTGAGCATGATTGGCATATTTGTACATACGTATATATGTTTATTTTCTGGGAAGTATACAGGTTTTACGGCGAGGGGTTAGAATGCATTTTATGAAATGGTTTTCAAAGAATTTGTTTTTGCCCACTCACGCTTTTGTTTTGCGCCCTTCCAGGTTCTAGTAGCTTAGCGGGTTTGGTGGTTTTCCCAGAGGACGTCCCGGCATTTCTGACAGACACTCACCTATGTAGGGTCACCTTCGGGTGCACTATTGTTGTATCGTTTCTTTTGGACTGCTGTAGGCTGTAGGCTCTGAATTCAGCGACTTACTTACGCTAGCACATACTTTATCACATTCTATTTGCTAGTTTTTAAATTATTCGTACTTTTATATTATTTCCTTTAGCTTCCGCACTGTGCACATGGCTATGTCACTTCCACGTGACGGCCAGTATGCCCTGGCCTCGGTTGGGGTGTGTCAGATAAGTTTTCGCCGACTCCAACAAAATAGAGGCAATTTTTCTGCCACTACGCCTCTAAAGCCACCTGGTCGCATCAGAGGACGAGTTTTTTTAAAACACTAACATGTATAAGGACATCATGATGTGCTGCAGATGTGATATTTACAGTTTGAACGTTATCTAAATATATAGTGCTCGATCGACAGTATAGTCGAAACCCTAAGTAGATATACCAAATATGAAAATGGAAGGAGTACAGAAATGTTGAACCTACACCATCAAATGGTCTTTTGCTTCCCTAAGAGCAACTCCAGCGTTGGAGCCCTTCCCCCTGGCAATACACTATTCAATCCACCTAATGAACAGTAATTGCCCTTAATGAACAGTAAGTAGCCCTGGCAATAGATTTTGCATCTCCACCGTTACACTTCTATAGCCCTGGCAATAGGCAATAAAATATTAGTATTTTTTTTATTTATAAAATTAATACAAAATAATTTTAAATGTAATATCGGATAAGATTTTTAATCGTTCTCGTTGCGCCACGTGAAATTGTTGTGTAAGGTAGATGATAATGAGAAGGTATTTATAGAAAAGTAAAAACTATTTTTTTTACAATTTTTTTCAGATTTTTCAGATATTTTTTTGAATTTTTTTGAATTTTTTACAATTTTTTTAAAATTTTTATTCAATTAATTAATCTCTGCCGTTGGATATAAAAAAATTTGAATTCCAACGCTCCAGATTGTGCCACGTGTCACAACGGTAACTTTTCAGATTTTTTAAACTATTTTTTCATTTATTTTTTAATTTATAAAGCATTTTAATATCCACCGTTGATCTCAGATCGAACGGTGGATATTAAATCTGACACTTTTTTTTTTTTTTTACCGTTGAGATCTAACGGTCCACATTAAGTGACTGTTACGATCTAACGTACCGTGGGAAGCCACGTGGCTTCCCAACGGTAACAGACAAAACTTTTTTTTTTTCTGATTAAAGTGTCAGGACGCGCCCCCACGCGCGGGTGGGGTGCACGCGCCTGACACAAAAAAAATTAAATAATACGCTGACGCCACCCTGGCGTCAGCCTGGCGTCATCCCCACCCCGGGCTCCAGGCCTGTCAATTTCTCACGAGCCTGGCCCTCGGGCCTCCCCCGTCCCCCCGGCTTCCCCACGCTGGAGCCGATCCACCTTCACTCGGGCCTCCGTTTTGGAGCCCGTCCCCCGAGCTAAACCCCACGCTGGGGATGCTCTAATATATGATGAAATGGCTTTTGGCCTTTTATTCACAAAATCAACACATGCAGGAGGCAGACGGGTCCAGACGACAGGTCCTTATCTTGAATTAATTTTTGAATTTCATATCATACATCATGTCAACACTGCCGATTGGTCTTCAACGTCACCCGTTATTGCAACTAATTTGTTATTTGCATGAAATCTAAAGCAACCGCCTTCGACCTTTCTGTTGAAAATTTTAATTAATTAGCATACTAATTAATTAAGACTAATTTTGATTGAATGGTTTGGTAAATAATTAGCACTTCCATCACCATAAAAATATTCAGCTTTGAGTTTGGAAGCTGTAGAAAATTTTAAGTGTAACCGATTATACAATTATCAATTATATACAATTACATATTTATTTTTCTTCGAAAAGTTAGTTGTGTGATAAATAAGCCTGACGCGTGGTTGTATGTGACATGTAATTGAATCAATGTAAGGACGTCGGTCATCATGCTTGATTGATATGTACAACACCAAATGGAGTAGCAGTGGTTGTTGGTTCTCTCATCTCTCATCTCTGATCTTCGTGGTACAGTGTTTGTTGGTTCTCTTGTCGCTTCTCTGATCTTCGTCCTACAACATTTATTGGATGGTACGACTTGTGAGTAAAGTGGACAAAACAAACGGTTCTGGGCCTTCTTGTATTGTATATTAACTATTCCGTCCAACCTTCAAATTAGCTTTGGTAATTTACTCAATTTATTTGGAAATTCCATACTTCGGTAAAGAAAAATGAGATACACTTAATTATAATTCTATCCAGTAAAATTTGATCTAATGAAACACAGTTCCTATTTTATTTAAGGTTCTAAAATATGCTAGATGTTTGTCAGACAGCGAGGTGGGGCCTAACGGCTAAGTTGGAGCATAGGCGGATTTAAGTAAATATATTACGTATCGTATAAATGTCTGATTATACTTAAAAAATGATATATAATTTTATAGGGATACATAAGTTGCAAAATTGAATGATAGAAATATTATGATGTTTATGACATAATGTAAACATAGGGAACACGTATATGATGTGTGTTCATCTAAAGTATTCAACAAGTCTTTTACAATTTTTTGAAAAAATTATATATTTTTTTGTCAAAGAAAGAGTTACGACCTAAACGGGTATCTAGGTAGGTTTGGGTGGGTTAAGCTGTCTAAACGTCATTTCTTAATTTTTAAACATTTAGAGATTACTCGAGACGGTGGCCCCACCTAAAGGGCGCTAGGTAAGAATTTTTAAAACAATAATCTTATTAGAGGACGTTTTGAATTCATATTTGATATGCGGCTTTTATCGAATCAAATGATAATAAAATAAAGTAAAATCCTCATACGCCTTTCACTACCGAGAACAATTTTCTCTCAAAACTATTACGGCATTTTGCCTTTTCTGTTGTTGTAGAGAGTTGTTTTTCACACTTCTTAAGCTTGTCGTGCACTTCCTTATAGATTTAGTTATTTATTTCAATAAATCGAGCGAACACAAAAATCATGATTAACACGAGTGTGAACAAATTAAGAAAAAAAAAGGTGTTTATCATTTTCCTTCGTGTAAAATCCCAGTCAAACAACATGATTACTCCCTGGTCTGTGGGGTTTAGTTTTGTCAAATTCTTAACTAAGCATGACTAATTGAAGCACATAATTCTTAAATAAATAGAGTAGAATGACATTGACTTTATAAATCCGAAGGAAAAAGATAACCATGTCCAATATTTTATTGTCTTTGTCACTCAATATTACGGTTTAATAGATTTTTTTTTAATTGTAAGTAAAGTTTCAGGCTTGATTATAATCAAAGATGAATTTAAACCACATTATTACATATTTATTATGAAATTAAACTCACTTTCTTACCCCTTAATATAAATTATAACGTTTGATAATATATATATATATATATATATATATATATATATATATATATAACGTTTTCCGTAAAAAGACTTTGACGTCGACCATGACTAAGAGACGACTACAATACAGAGAGATGATGAACGTATGAAACAAGAAATAAATAATGGGAGTGTTTTAGGCGCTGAACCTAAATGTCGTAATGTGTGTGGCAGCGATGTAATTCGTGAAAAGATTGAGGTTTGATGTTAGGACAGCACTGTTATAAGAGGCAGATATTTTCTTAGGCTATGCAGGAGACGATGTTTAGCTAACAGACTTTGGATCGTTGCATTTGAACTCAGAAGCAAAGAAGAACACGAAAGCTGAAGCTCAAAGGTGATCGTCAACCACACATCAATAATCATAAAGGTCTGTCAAAACCCCATCAGAAACTGAAATGGCTTTTCACCAAATTCCGTACTTTTAATTTTTATTTTATTTTATTGTTCTTCAAATTAGATGCTTTTGGGCTATAATGTTTGCTGCAGTTGCATGTGCTTTTTTCCGCTTTTAGTTTCTTATGTGATGAAGGTGAAAACTTGGTGGTCAATTTAGTGGCTTTGAATTTGTTATTTCAAGCATGAATTTATTGTGAGAGTGAGATGTAGTATTTTATCTCGAGTTTTCAATATTTTTTTTTTTTTAACAAACGATGGGATATTCTGCACTAAATTCATTTAAATTACGAGAAGG